TCATACATCTATTTCCCAAAGCCAACCTCTGGATATGACACTGAGCATGGGCACTCAACTTCTTTGGTCGACCATGGCAAGGCCTGTTCTGAGTGGAAACTGTCCTCTTAAACCACTATATGGTCTTAGCCACCATGCTGCAGCTCAGTTTCAGGGTTTTGGCAATCTGCTTATAGCCTAGGCCATATTTATGTAGAGCAACAATTTGTTTTTTCAAATCCTCAGATAGTTCATTACCATGAGGGGCCATGTAGAACTTCCAGTGACCAGTCTGAGAGAGTGAGAGCGATAACAACTGCTCCCCCTTCACACCTGAGACTTGTGACACTGACAGGTCTCACGACACCAGGGAGGAGAAACGGTTACTTGGGCCCAGTTTGGACATTGTCACTTAGGGGTGTACTCACTTTTCTTACCAGTGCTTTAGACATTAATGGCTGTGTGTTGTGTTATTTTGAGGGGACAACAAATCTGCACTGTTACACAAGCTGTACACTCACTGCTTTACATTGTAGCCAGGTGTCATTTCTTCAGTGTTGTCGCATGAAAAGATATACTAACATATTTATGAAATGTGAAGGGGTGTACTCATTTTTGTGATAGTATATGGTTCCTAACCCTAGAAAAAGTGTCCTAATCAAAACTTTCCTCCCCCTTCACTCCCTTGGTCAGAATGAGTCTATGTAAGCACGATAGGATTCACAGACTTACTTATACATGCCTCACAACAAGTAAATTCTAGTCTGTGTACCTAATGAAATCTAATCTGCTACAAAGCAAAATAAACTCCATACAAATGACAGCCAAATGATCATAGCCCAGGATTAACAGAGAGGGTACCAAAGCTGTTCAGTACGTCATACCTGTACAGTTAGCCATATGGTTTGTTGATTTTAAGACTTCACCCATACAGTAGAGCAATAAAATGCTGTGAAAGGATGGTGAGCTCAACAAAGAGAGAGCACAGTGAGTGGAAAAGAAGAGAGACAATTTGGGACAGAGAAAAAAGACAAGAGAACTTTCTTTAGATCCTGTTCTCCTTTCAAGAAAGGTCTGGTTCCTTCCCCCTCCTCTTCTATTCCTGTTACATATGAAAATGATTCCTGCACAATGCCTTCAATTTGCCCTTAGAGATGCAATCACATTGAGAACACATGAAGGGAACCAGGCCTCCAAACAGTCTCCTTGTGGTTATTCCCACATTATGAGAAAGAGTGCTGTCACAAAAAAGGGAACAGATGCTTAGGAAGTAGAAACGGGGGTTTCTGAAAGACTCAGATCATGTGCTTAGATTCTGAATAAGTCTCTTGGGCATATAGGAATATGCTACATAAAGCCTTTTTATAATTCATGAGATGGTCCCAGTTGTTTATGTAGGAAAAGTCTTATTGCTACAAAGACTAAAAAGTCCAAAAAGAGGGAAGCTCTACAGTCACTCTTGTTTTAGTTAATTTCTTGTCTCTTCAGACTTCGAGTACACATCTGAAATACTTGATCTGATGTTCAGATACATCATGGTCTTCTTTAATAATACACATAAAGTACAATCCGTATTACCAGTATTTTGCATTTAATTTTGCAAATCAAGAGAGCCTTCATATGGTTAAAACCCCACAGCTTCAATTCTCTCTCACCAGGTAAAACATGTTTTCTGAAAAATAACGTGGAAGTTTTAATAGATGGTTAGAAATAATTTTAAATCATGACTGCTGCATAACTATATTGATTAGTCATTCTTTTGGGCTGTGTAAGTCTTGGCAGAGTGTTTAAATTTCATGGCTAAAACCCTCTAGTTACACAGTGGGAAAAGAAAGTTCAAGGGCCTATAGAGCAGAATTAGCTTCAAGTCCCCCTTCAGTAGATCACTCCTTATTGTTTGTTCTCCACAACTGATACTTATTGCCTAACAATAACTCACTCAGAGACACTGATAAGAAAAAAGATTGAAAAAAAGCTTCCATTTACTCAAAGTTCTGAGCAGAGCAAAAACAAACAGCGTTCTGCAGAAAAATAATGACTGGTTGCATGAAAACTCTTGGGAGTGTTAACAGTTAATTGACTAACTAGCTTAATGACTGATTCATGCATAGTTAACAAAGCAAAGCAAAAGCAAGGTGTTACTTATATACCGTCTCATAATGCTTAAAGCTCTCTCTGGGTATTTTACAATTTAATTATGCAGGCTACACATTGCTATTCCACCCACCCACCGCCCCATGAGCCGTACTCAATTTGCCTGCCTCAGAAAGACAGAAAGTTGAGTCAACCTTGAGTTGGCTCATGATCGAACTCAGGGTGTGAGCAGAGACTTGACTGCAGTACTGCAGTTTGACCACTGCATCACAGGGCTCAACAGAATTCAAACTGCTGACTACATAACTGCACATAGATTGATTCTAACTGTCTGACTAAAAAGAGTGGGAAAAGAACTCTTGAGTAGAGAGGCATGGCTCTCTTCCAAGTCTGAGGCAGAGAGGGAACAATTGGTTACTGCTTGATTGACAGTCACTCCAACCCAGAAAGGTCCCTCCCAGCCCAAAGCCTCTTTAAAAGACAGCATATGAAGGTTGCTAATAATTCGAACAAGAAATGTGTGTGTTCCATAACATTGCTTCAAAAAGGCCCCAAAGGTAAACATTAAGAACATATTTTACTCCTCCCATACCTTCTGATAACATTGAGTTATAAGTTTGAGTTTCATGTTCAAAAAAGCATAAATGGTAATTAAGGAGCCACTTAAATCCTACTAAATAGGATTTAAATAATAAAAAACAAAATACCACAATGAGCAGTGTAACGTGCTCTGTATGGAGGACTTGGAACAGCATCTAGTGTGGCTGGGAAGGCCAATTCAAGAGAGACAATCAATTCCACACTGAAGACAAATACAATCTGTCCCCTGTCCAGCTCCCTGATCTTGTTGCTTTCGTGACTGCCTCTTTGCTTCAGCCTGCTGGACAAGGGTCTCTTCAAATTGGGAGGCTGAACGCTCAGATGTCAGGGTTTCCCACCTGTTGAGGTCCATTCCTAAGGCCTTCAGATCCCGCTTGCAGATGTCCTTGTATCACAGCTGCGGTCTCCCTCTGGGGCGATTTCCCTGCATTAATTCTCCACACAGGAGATCTTCTGAAATCTGACCATCAGCCATTCTCACGACATGCCCAGCCAACGCAGACATCGCTGTTTCAGTAATGTATACATGCTAACAATTCCAGGTCGTTCTAGGACTACTCTATTTGGAACTTTGTCCTGCCAGGTGATACCAAAAATGCATCAGAGGCAACACATATGGAACGTGTTCAGCTTCCTCTCCTGTCGTGCACAAAGGGTCCTGCTCATAATTATTTCTATCTCTCTGTACCACAATTATTTCTATATGCCTCTGTACCATGCTGTCTACCAACTTCTTTTATCATCTTCCTCCGGAACCCTTATTTAATCTAGATATCCTGGGTTTAAAATGATCAGCTATGTCTTTCCCGTGATCACAGAGGCTTCTCCCCTATCCCCCACCCACAACCACACCCAGGAATTAGTCTCTAGGAGAGGTCTCAACAGTCTGTTAAGATGACCCTGAATAATCACCTTAGTCGCTTGCCAAGGACAGGAAGCTTCTTTGTACTAATAGTATCCTAAGGATTTCAAGTGTCAACCTAAGTATCACCCTAATTATCTCAGGTTTCCAATATGCCACACTTATAGGTAAAATCTAACCCTATTGGAGCTTCACAATTCCCTCAGCACTAGCACCAAATTATCTATGCAAAACCTACTGGAATCTTTATGAACAGAGTAATAAAGATTCCATATATAAGAGCAACAGCAGGCTGACAGCAGTGTATTTGCCAAACAGAGTATTTTCATTTACAGCCTGAAAACACGCATGCACGCGCGTGCACACACACATGGGGGAGGGAGAGAGAGGAAGTCTCCTCCTAATTAATAAAAGGTCTATAGAAATCGTAGATAATTTTAATTACAGGATAATAGCGCATAACTATAACACTTAGAGGAATACATTGAGAGCCATATATAAGAGCAACAGCAGGCTGACAGCAGTGTATTTGCCAAACTAAATATTCATCATTTGGACAAGAAAGGAGAAATGAATGTAATGAAGGACACATACACGAAAACTAGCAGGAAAAAAACTGCTTCTATAAAGAGAGCTAAAATTATAATTTATTTCTATTTCCCCTATAAAGCCACAAATGCTTGCATTCTAAGCATGGGATGCTGCACTACATGTTTCTAGCTAGTCAGAGATAATGTTCATATATATGTTTACATGCTAACCTGTCTTAATTGTTTCCACCAGCTTGTCATTTTTGTCCCCATCAAGTAATTTCTGGTAATATCCAGGGTTTTGTTCCATGTGGGCCTGAGCGCCGCTGACCACCATCCAAACCAGTGCACGGTGCTCATTTGGAATGCCTTTCCTGATATAGCGTTTCACTGCAATGAAAACAATTATATTATTTGTAGTTACACGTTGGGATGTTTAAATGACAGAATATAATACTTTTAGGCCCCTTTATATCCTAGATTATCATTGACTGCTGACCATTCCTCAAACAAGATCACTGAGGGGTTCTGATTGAGGAAGACAGAGGATATCAGTGAGAAATAGACACACCCATCAGGAGGACTATTAGTTTCTTTTTTGGATGATCCAAATCTAATCATGGCAGGAGAGTTTGGGTCTACGTGTCTGAAGAAGTGGACTGTAATCCATAAAAGCTTCCACACTGAAATAAATGTGCCAAGTCTTCCAGGAGCCACAGTATGTTTGCTTACTGGCTGCTGAAATAGACTCCCATGGCTATCTTTCCGAAAAGAAAATCAGTGTGCATGATTTCCATGCAAACTAGAGAGCAAGCTTGGGAAAGGGAATGATTTTTAAATTATTATTCTTTGCCTTCGCTCTGTAGTTCTGCATTTTCCCTAGTCCCCTTATGCAACAAATTGCACAATTCCCTCGACTCAGGATGCTCCAACCATTACAACAGCTTCCAGGCCTCATGGTAACATCCCCCTCCCCTTTAACCATCAATCCTTCCAGCCAGGTACTTCTTCGGTGCTCCCTATTCTAGGTATAACCTCACTTTCTTTACAAACAGCCTTGTAGGATGGTGATGTGGAGATCAAGGCACAGGTTCACAAAGTAATAGAAGGGGTGGGGGTGGGGGGAAAGCAGATCTAAAAAGTTAAGTTAACTTCTGTTGACTGAAAGGAAAAACTTACTGTGATATGAATATAGGAATAAAAATGTATTTGATGAAGGAGGGAAAAATGGAGAAAGAAACAAGGGGAGCGTTTCAATGAATCGACAATTTAAAATAAGTTTATAGATTTGGAGTGGGCAACACTTCACCACAAGTGAGAATTCTGGATATTTCTTGCAGCTGACCCAGTCCCTACCACTTTAGGTTCTACCAAGCAGGGATGTTGGCAGGTCCAAATCTCGAATCCGAGTCTTTGGATTAAATCCCAAGCCTCGAGTCTGAGTCTCAAGTCCCTGCCTGGGGAATTGCAAGCCACTGGTAAGGTCCCCCTCCCCAATGCTGCCCCTGAGCTGGGCTCACCACATTCCGAGGAGCCCCCAGCCCATGCCTCCTTGGCCTTTCCTGAGGCAGACTCCACCTTTTTGCTCCAGCTGGCAAGAACCATAGAAGTAGGAGGGCCTGCAGTGCCAGGGTGATGGTGGTGCTGGTGTCCTCAGGGACAGGATCAGTCTCCAGGCTGCTCTCATGTCTGCTGGGGCACCTGGGCATCCTCCTGCTGATGGTGATGGCTGGACAGACCTAGATGGAGGTGCTGCTTCTCCCGACACTGCCACCGCTTCCTCCTCCAGTGGCAGAGCCCGAGGAGAAAAGCAGCTGCTTCTTGGAGGGTGCCTCACTCCTCCCATTCCATCCTCTAAAAAACCTTTCTTCCCTGTCTCTACCTCCTCTGCAATTTGCCACAGTTTGCCTGCTTCACCTATAGGTGTCCATTAAAAGAATAGGGTTTTGAAAATACAACTCGGAAAAATGGGCCCAAGTCAGAAGCCAAATCAGAGTCTTTTTTTAAAAAAAGTTGAGTCACTGATGCAACTTAAGTCAGACTCAACAGCACGTTGTAAGTCTCCATCCTGCAAGTTCCCAAGAACTACCGATGATATGAATATAGGACTGCAAGGTTACAGGGGGCAGATATTAACATTCCACATGTCTAAACTAAACAGGGATAGTAATGCTTCACAATCTGGTCACTTTTGACAGACTTCAAGATTTATTTAAGTTCAAGATTCGTTAAAAATCCACTTCTTCAGATACAAGGAATGTAAATTTCCTCTATACGTATTTATATATATTCCCCTGGTGATGACAGTCACCAATAGGTATGGACACAGGTAAAAGACAAATTGACAGTGGTTCACTAACATATAAAACTACCAAGCTGTTAATTACACGAGGCAACAAACCTTAGATGGAATGATAATCTATATGCCAGATAGATTTAGTTGCCATAGAACTAATCAGACACACTTTTATGGGTCTCAAAGTGGCTACTACATAAAAAATGAATTATAAAATTGAATTATAAAAGGAGACTTGAAAGGCAGACAACCAATGTTTGTTAAATAAAAGAATTCTAGTGCATCTCTTAGGCACTCAACATAGATAAAAACTTTTTAGTGCACTACATACAGTAACCAAGCTTTTTAATAATACTGTATAGGTACACTACAGTTGTCTCACTCAAAAGACTCTGAACCTCTGTCCCAGACAGCACTTAGTATTTTTGCCAATATTTCCTGCCAATTTGCTAACATATTGAGACAAACTACTTGTAAAATACTGTAGATATCCTGATAGCCAAATGACACCTCATCTATTATATCTTTTTTCCTGAGATCTTACAATATTTAAATGTTTACAGCTAAGAAGAAAAACATCATGATGCTTGAATACTGTTCCCATAATGCCTTTTTTGCCTTTGAAGCTGACCCCTTCCCATCATGACTATTGATTCTAAAAGCAAAGCCAGCTTGAACACAGTTAAATCAGATGCTGCAAGCAGAGACAGCTTTATGACTTTGGTGGCCAGTGCAAGGGGAAAGCAGCCCTGCGGCTTAACATTCATTCATTCTTCTTCTTCATTTACTGTCGTTTTGACAGCAGAGCTACAGGCCTATTGTGAGGAGAGGTCCATTTGAGTTTCAAAGACTGTGTATCCATTTTTCAGACAGTCAAGACAGAAAACAGAAAAAAAAATCTCCCAGTACATGTCTCTACCAGATCATATTCCTTAGAGCTTTTTATATGGGTTGTAAGTAGAGATGGGCATGACTCAAGTCATGTTTCTTCATACTAAGATCTCTGTGTGGTATCTGTGGTGCCGTACATTCCCTCCCCCCTCCTCACAGATGGCTGCCAACTCACAAGCCTTCATGAGCTGCTCAGGCCGTCCTCTGTCGCCGGCTGCCCAGTCTGGGAAGGAGCTTGAGCTTTCCATCCCTGCCTCCTTCAGCAGCTGACCACTCAACGTCTGCACAGGGAGAATTCCCATCCCACTTCATTGTCTGAGTGGCCGGCTGCCAGAGGAGGCAGGGAAGGAAAGCACAAGCTCCTTCCTGAACTGGGCAACGAAGGACGACCTGGGCGGCATGCAGAGGCTTGTGGATGGGGCAGTCAGTCATCCAGGAGGTGTGTGTGTGTGGGGGGGGAAGGAATGTTTGGCAAAGAGGCATGAATTTAGTCATGCCCCTCTCTAGCTTCATCTACTCTAGCCTAATATGAACAAAGGGCGTTGTCCCCACTCCTGAAGGGGGAAGGGGAGAAGAAAATAAATGATTGTTGGCATGTTTGGTGGAAACTATTCTATTTGGAATTGTGGCAACTTTTGACCTACCAATCTATTCAATACTATAAAATAAAAATTTTATAGGAGCATATGCTAGGTGGCTCTTTTAAGGAAAAATAATGTTTTCAGTTTTAAATGGAAGCCAAAATTTTATAAACATGTCACTGGGACAATCTAAAGAAGCATCTTGGGACCCAGAATATATTGCTGGAATTTAGAAAGTTACAGAGGATTGTCACTGAGACAAATTCTGGCACCAAAGAATCTTTAAATATTTTTCCACTTATGTAAAGACCAATCACCTCACAGTTTGATCCTTACTGCTAACTTATTACTCAGTATGATTTTTTAAAAAATCTGTGGAATCTGCTTGCTGAACCGGTTATACTGTTGTCACAGCTATGATTACATGTTATCATCTTTTAAGAAGCATGTTTGTCATGCAGATTGTAAGGTGCTCACTCTTTGCACAGAAGAAATTACATCCGATTCAGAATTCTTCTTTTATGATTCAAACCATGAGGTCTATATATATGGTGATGCAGTAATCTTTTAATTTGTTTTAGGCTTGGCATTCATCTTAAAATGTTTTCCAGTTCCTAAATGCCAATAGAATTTAGACTGGATCCTAACTTCTTGACCAGAGTTCTACTAATTAAACAAGGTTCTCTCACAGCCCATTTTTCTTTCTGCAGCACTTTTCCCTCCCTAGGTTTTTGGGGATCCTCTGTTGAAACAGTACAGGATGTTACATGTAATCACCAAAAAATAAAAAAAATAAAAAATTCAGAGACCTACCCTTGAGCAAACACACATGCCTTAATATACCTGCAATGGAAAGGATTGAACCAAGCCCATTCATTATATTTATACATTATGTAACTAAGAAGTTCAAATTGTGCTTTACTGTCTCATCTTTGGAATATTGTATTCTTTTCAGAAACAAATATACATTTACTTGCCATGTAAGTTTGTTTTTACAATGACCCGCATTTGAGAGTCTGGGTTTCTATTTTAGACAACAAGGATGGGGCAGGTGTAGACTTTCTGTCTGGCACAACTTACTGTACCCAAGTTTAGGAAAAATAAATGTCACCTGGCATTTTTAACAGCAAATTAATTCCCTACAAGGAAAAAAACAATGTAGATGTGAAAGCAAGTCATCAGTGAACAATTGCCAAATCTAAGTGATACTTTTCCTCCCCCACCCCACCCCATACACTATAGAGTTTCACCTCTCTATTAATGTAGTCAAATTCACTGGGAAAATGAAGTGGAGTACTGGCATAACAGTAAATTTTAACAAGAGAGAACAAACATTACTAGATACATATTATAAGTTGTCCCCAAAAATAATATAAGTGAGGAAATAATATAACAACATAAGTAAGGGGATAGAGAGCAAAGTGTTGAGATTTTGATGTGAATGTATTAAATATTAATGTTGTATAGTTAAATGTAAAATGGCTGATTTTCCTGAGTCACTGTACTGATTGTATTCAGGTGTGGGTATCAAGGATTAAGACTTAATGTTGTACAGCTGTGGTACATGATGAACCTTTGTGTAACAGAAAATGAAGTAATGTATTTTCTGATTGGTCACAGAATTGTGCATAAGTTATGTGTAAAATGGACATCTCGTATCTGCTGTAAGTCAGATCACTTTTTCCTATGCTGTGTGTTGCTTCATGTCATGTTATGCTGCCAGAGGAATGTCTATTCTCTATGTATATATGTAAATAGACTAAGTTGGTTTTACTCTCTCAGTGTCATAAGTATCTCTGCTAACCAATATCTCCTTACTCTGCTGATGTTATGAGAATACACAGCATGATCAAAATTCTAAACACAAAGAACAGAAAATAAGTAGTAGCAATTTTACATTTAAACTGCTTTTTTCATGGTTCTTTGCCAAAATCCCACAAGACATTTCAATGTTACCTTTTAAACTTTTTAGTGCACCATTGTTTCCCTTTAAAAGCTTGGACCACTTAATTGCTCTTCTGGTGAGTACTACCAAATATCTAGAAAAGAATTCTTCATATGTTGCATAATCAAAATCTTCAGGCCTTTCAAATCCATATGGATCCACTCTACAATATAAGACAGACAATTGCACAGGGATATTAGTTTTACACAGCTAAATAAAATTCATTTGCACACCAAACATAAGGCAATTCTTGAGAAAAGCAGGTAGAAGGAGCAACTGAACTTTAAAATAAAAGAAGGAAAAAAGTATATTAATTATGAATTTGACCAAACTCTGGGAGGCAGTGGAAGACAGGAGGGCCTGGTGTGCTCTGGCCCATGGGTTCACGAAGAGTCGGACACAACTGAATGACTAAACAACAAAATGTGAGAATAAACCCAGAAGTTTAGTTTGGTCTTGAAGTCATTCAATTAACACCTATAGAAATTCCATTTCATGGGGAAAAAAAATTCCCATGTCATTTTTCAGTGAGCTACAATGCCAAGTAGGAAAGGCAAATTGTCCTGATTTGGGAGAGCTCTGAAATTCTCAGTGGGTTCGGGATATGCAAGGTCCACTAACACTAACCTTTCTGCAAACCCTAAATGAAATTTCCACAAGTACAGAAAATATCCCAGAAGTCATAATGATTTTTATTATTATTATTTGCTTGGACAAAGGCGATACCACTCCTTGATAAGCATGTTACTTCTCTCATGATCCCATGAGACCCAGAAGCAGGGAAAGAGGTTACTATCTCTAAGGTAAAGGTAAAGTTTCCCCTTGACAATTTTTGTCCAGTCGTGTTCGACTCTAGGGGGCGGTGCTCATCCCCGTCTCCAAGCCGTAGAGCCAGCGTTTGTCCGAAGACAATCTTCCGTGGTCACGTGGCCAGTGCAATTTAGACACGGAACGCTGTTACCTTCCCACCGAGGTGGTCCCTATTTATCTACTCGCATTTGCATGCTTTTGAACCGCTAGGTTGGCAGGAGCTGGGACAAGCGACGGGCGTTCACTCCATCATGTGGATTCGATCTTACAGCTGAAGATTACAGACCTTACAGCACAGAGGCTTCTATGGTAATCCTACATTTTGTTAACATTGGAATTCATGACTAAAATATAGCCACTGTGTCAGTGTTTGGATGTCAAAACTAGCATCATCATGTACTCACGAATTCCTACCATACATGCTTCTGTTTTCAGTCAACCATGGATTCCTGTATCATTCAAATTAGGAGCTGTAGTTAACATTAGCTACAGTTAGTTAAAACAAACCAACTTCAGAAGGTATGATCTGAAGACTGCCCATTTAAATCTAAGCACGGTTAACATTAACCATAGTTTATTAGTCTGAATGACACAGCAAACTGCGATTAACTGCAACTAAAATCAAAGCCTTCTGAACTTCTGCTTCCAGCTGTATGAAAAGCAGAAGCATATACCCAAGACCAGAAGACAAGCTGCTACCTCTTGCTAAGAAATAGTTTAGTATATTCAAATGTAGTCATAAATGCTTCTGATCATATCTACAATATACATAAACATATGATGGGAAGTCAATCATGTATCTTTTACTTTCAGCGTAACTGGAAGGATACCAGCAGAATTTGCTTGTTCATTTGTTTGTTTTGTACTCCATCTTTCTCCTGGAAACTGGACCCAAGGCAGCTTATATAGAATTCAGGAAGTTTTGAAACAATTACAAATAGAATAAATAACATTTTTACAAAAAATTAAACATGCCAATCATTTATAAGTACTAGATAAAATTCTCTTAATAATAATAATTGTGTGACATCCAGTCAATTCTGACTTCTGGCCACCCTTTCCAGGGTTTGCTAGGTAGACAGTACTCAGAAGTAGAAATGGGCACGAGCTGTCAATTTATCAGTTTGAGCTGGTTCATTTACCTGCCCCCCACAGGTGTTCTGCAGTTCAGCACTCCACACCCTTCAACGAGTGCCCACTCAGAGCAGCATCCCAGCTTCCCTGCCCTGCCTTCTCCGGGTGCTGCCTTTGATTGGGACTGGTAAATATTTGGGGCCGAAACAGAAATGCCCATCTCTACTCAAAAGCAGTTTACCATTCCCTTCTTCTGGAGGCACCCAGAGAAAATGGCAAATCAAATTCAAACTCATGCATCAGTGAGAGTATCATAGGGGGAGGATGTTCTTAAAGGCCTTCTTGAGGAGCTCAGATTTCACACATTTCCTGAAGACCAAGAGGGATGAAACCTGGCATATGTCCATGGGCAACTCGTTCCATAACTTCACAGCCCCCACTGAGAAAACCCAGTTCCTGTTGGTAGTTTTCCAGGCCTCCCTTGCAGTGAATCACGAAGCCTGGGAAGAATGGGTGGCCCGGGCAGATGATCTTGGGGAAAGGCATTCCAGCAGGTAATGAGGTCCCAAACCGTTAAGGGCCTTATAAGTTAGCATTAGCACTTTGAATTGGGCATGAAAGCAAACAGAATGCATGCATGCCAGGATCGGGAGATGTGTAGCTTCCATATCACCTTCAAAGGCTGCCCCACAAAGACAGTATTACAGTAACTGACTCCATCACAATAAACCATGAACAAGAACTCTTCACTTCCTTTACACTCACACGCCTCATGCTGAATGATAGGACTACAAGCAAACACAACCTTATTTGTAGTCAGGGTGCACAAGTAAAAATGCTAAGTACTGTTAGCCACAACAGGCAAGTGAAGGCTCCTGATATTGAAAGGATCATTTCATGCCTGATTTCATACTGTGAAGACAATCATCTCAATCTGATAAAGACTATAAATATTTGTTGTTGTTTAGTCGTGTCTGACTCTATCTCAATCTGATAGAGACTATAAATATTTGTTGTTGTTTAGTTGTGTCTGACTTTTCGTGACCCCATGGACCAGAGCACGCCAGGTCATCCTGTCTTCCACTGCCTCCTGGATTTGGGTCAAATAAATATAGCAGAATATAAATATAATTACTACAAAAATATCTGAGTGTCCAGCTAGACTTTCAATAGGTTCAATTTTGACAGTTGCTGACTACATAAATTGGGATTGATTTCCATCTGACTCAAAATTGCTTGAATCAGTCAGTGTTCATGTGTTTGTTTCACAGATTAACAGCCGACACAGGAGTAAAATAATAAGGTAGATCTATAGACCGTCCAGTCATTGTCCACCCCATAGATCCCTTTAAAGTTTGTAGATTCCGTTTATTTCTCTTCTTGAGGATTAAAAAAAATCAAGAAATTAGCTTAAGACACTTAATATATTCCCGTGCACCAAAAGGCAAAGATGGCACAAGCTAAATGTTCCTGCCTTAACTTCCACACCACATAACCTGTAATGACATAGTGTTATATTCTCATAGCATAGGAAAGAGGCAGTGAAATGAACAATGTCATGCCAGAGAAGGAAACAAAGGTATTCCAGACTTGAATTGCATTTCAAGCACTATTACATCAGTCAGCTTTAAATTATCGCTCTCAACCTATCTGTTTGCTATACAACGGTAATAAAACCTGCTCTACCCAACAGGACTGTTGTTAGAGACTACTGAGATTCTGAAATGTTACAATTACTGAGATGCATGCATATGAAGCATTTTGCATGCTAGTTATATACAATAGAAGTAGTAGCTAGCATGATATGACAGGGTATTCCGACAGACTAATTTGTACTGTACAGTTCCCACTACAAATTATCTGTCCTGTGGTAGCTAGCATGATATGACAGGGTATTCGACAGACTATTTTGTCCTGTACAGTTCCCACTACAAATTATCTGTCATTTAAATTAAGAAGTATATTTCCCCCTTCATAGTAGGATGTGCTGCAAACCAGAGACCAACATTTGTTCAAACAGAATTGCTGCTATAGCTTTACAATAAATGTTTACTCAGATAAGGAAAACCTGTTTATTATAGCAACTGTGTGCCCTTGATTATGAGACAAGGCCCTCCTCAGGTCACCCTCAGTGTTCTACTTGAAGTTCTGAACCTCACACAGCTCTATATAATAGGAACAACATTTGTTTGCATGACTGCTTATCTGTTTTGGTGCTTTCATTCTCTTGCTGCCTCCTTCTCTCTCACATAAACATACACACTAATCGAAACTGCAATACGTCTTCCACTTTCAGCTCCCTCAAGTCTCTGTTATTAGATTCTTGAACACATAGCCAATATGGAGAATGGAAACCTATACACTTTGGGTCATTTCCAAGAAACAATCACCATTTCATAAAGTCTTCAAAAACAAAAGGTCTTTAGCATGTACCTAAGCACCACTGGTTTGAATTGAACCTAGAACACACAGTCAGAGCTGGACATTTTGCTGCCTGACGCAAAGTACCCCAACCCTAATTCAATATACAAATACCGACTGCACTGGCATTTGAGCACCAGTAAGAGGGCAGTGCTGTGGGCTAAACCACTGGTTCTTAACCTTGGGTTACTCAGGAGTTTTGGACTGCAACTCCCAGAAGCCTTCACCACCAGCTGTCCTGACTGGGGTTTCTGGGAGTTGCAGTTCAAAAGCATCCGAGTAACAAAGGTTAAGAACCACTGGGCTAAACCACAGAAGCCTGTGCTGCAGGGTCAGAAGACCAGCAGTCGTAAGATCGAATCCACGCGATGGAATGAGCTCCCGTCGCTTGTCCCAGCTCCCGCCAACCTAGCGAAAGCATGCAAATGCAAGCAGATCAATAGGGACCACCTCGGTGGGAAGGTAACAGCGTTCCGTGTCTAAGTCGCACTGGCCATGTGCCCACAGAAGATTGTCTTCAGACAAAATGCTGGCTCTATGGCTTGGAAACGGGGATGAGCACCGCCCCCTAGAGTTGAACATGACTGGACAACAATTCTCAAAGGGGGACCTTCACCTTTAAGAGGGCAGCAGAATGCCAGCAAGATATGCATTATGGCACACAGCTCCACTTCCTATACATGGACAGAGGCAAGCAAAACAGGCAACTTCTGCCACCGATCTCCCTAAGCATCTGCTGTCTGAGGCAGCCACCTCATTCTGCTTAATGGCAGACGAACCATGTCCTCTTTTAGGGAAGTCAATCTTCCACTTGACAGGGCTGCTAGAGAACAATCCTCCTTTTTAGGATGTCATCCTTTTGAAGTGGGGTCCTGCTTGGATCTGACTGAAAGATAAGAAAACTGAAAGAGAGAAGTCAGGAGCTTTTAAGCTGCCCATCCACAATAAGCACCTGAAGAGCATACTGGCCAGGCCTAAAGGTCTCAAGGTCAAAGTCTTGCCCCCCCTTAAGTGAAATGCACTGTAATCCTCTATAAACGAGGGCATGCAATTCTATGCCAATTTAGTATCTTGTTTTGTTCACCTTTTTGGTGATGTGAAGATGGCCACCTTAAGGGCAGACTTGTTATTGCGCAGAAGATTTGTCCAAGTAAAAATCTGAGAAGTTCAAGCAAGCAGAGGCATGATAAGGCCATGGATACTTGCGTCTTTTGGAACTGTATGCAAGGTATTGTGAAGAAAAACTTTATACCGCTGATTCTTTTCCACAAGTATGTCCATAAATCCTTAGGCTCAGTTTATACACATCATACACTAAGTACTGATGCTTTTCCAGTTCTGGTCTGCTCCATAAAAAATGTTATATATTGGTCCTTTGCAATTTAGGTTTTATACAGTCAACTTTCCTTTAGCTTTCCAGAGTTTTTTAAAAAATAATTTAAATAAAGAGACATGTTAAAAGGTCTAGAATATTACAATACAACCTGATATTACACATAACACATAATAATAGTCATAAGGTACAAAAATCTAACCTGCTCAACCACAAAAAAACAAAAACAAAAAAGCTGTTGCAATCCTAAATACAGCAAAGGAGGCATCTTTTGCCTCATAATCTAAAAGCAAGGTTTCTGTCTCACACCTAAAAGATTAGGTCTGTGTCACACTGACAGCATCCTTCAAGAACCTTATGATCAGGAAAAGAATCTTTGTCTAATATACAATAAAGGAATACTGTGTATCCATGAGCTGGTTTCTAGTCCTGTAAGCTCTCTCAGTTTATATACATTTTTTGCAGAAGACTATGTATGGGCCATACTCCATTCACCATATACTGTATTCAGATCCTCCCCAATTTTTCCAACATTTTGCTACCTTCAAGCAAGCCATCACTAATATCAATTTTACCAAATCCTTATGTGATCGGGTTTCATTATGACAGCAATAATCACTGTTCACAGTATTCAATGTTCTGCCCAGTAATCACTATGACAATTCTCACGTCTCCACAAGCATTAGAATTGAGGGAAAACTTTCCACATGTGAAGGAGGCAGCCACACTGCCTACAGCCTGTACAACTTTCTGCCAAGAGTGTTTTGTTGTATATATAATTTTTTTGCTGGGTACTAGTGGCAGAATGAAGTATTTCAAAAGCATTCTCTCACTGTGACACCAAAACTGACTTAAAGGACTTGAATATTTATTCTTGCTCCCAGTAGGAATCCAAGATTTTGGTCTCAAAACAAGGGTGGATGGTATCTTTACTAGACCACTAAAGTACCATGAACACACACACACACATTACTGAATCCTGCAGGATCTTAATAGGTGCAACTTTTGTAGGTCTTGGTGTAAAATTCAATCTCCCATGTAATTTTCAAATCTGTTAACCTTTCCCTGCAAGCTCTCAACTAACTATATTTGAGAATCCTAACCTTGAGTATTTTTGGGGAAGGGGGGGAGATAAAGTTCTTCACACTTAATTATGGATCTTTGATGAGCATGTAATATATGTGTGCCAAAGAAGTCCCCTTATCTAATCACCCATAACTAGTATTGTTGAGTTTTGATCTCAAAAATGCAGAGGGGTTGTTTTATCAAAGAGACCCCACATGCAAAAAAAACTTTTGCTCTCCAGTTTTCACATGGCTTAAATTCGTCCAGCAGGTAGTTCAGAAATGGATGCAGAGAAGAAAGCAGTAGGTTTAAGAAGTTGATCCAAGGGTTCACATTGCTTTTAACCAGAATATTTTCTAGGGCACAATGCAGTTACAATGGACCATCTAATTCCATCTCTATTCACAAAACTTAATTATCATATGTGATTAAATTGGATAAATGTTTTCACTGAAAGGATGTAAAAAATAGTTTGAGGACCACTAGTACATTACATGAGATGTAAGTTCAAAGGGTTTTTCAGCTTTATTGGCAGTGGAACAAACAACTGAGTAAACACAATCCAAAGTCATACAGCCCAGGAATAAGCTTTATCCTTGATTCTACTGTATCTGGGCTTTTTCACTTGATGATGCATGCTGAGACAAACATCAGCCACTGTTCAATCATGAACGGAAACAAGTAATCAAGCATCTCTAATGTCTCATTCATTCCTCTGAAGACATTCCACTGACAAAGACAACATTTTACAATTATAAGGAATTTGTAAATAATTCCAAACTTCTGTCCAGACAGCAGATTGTTCGTTTTCTCTACCAACTTCTGCATCCTCAAATTTTGTATTTATTAAATTCACCAATTCCATTACTTCCTTGTTCAGTTATAGCTCAGTCTAAATCAATCAGTCATATTTAGAAACTAGTTTACAAACATCTCTTCTTACTTTTCTAAAGCTCTTGATGTCTATACTAAGAAGGGAAAATATATTTCCTAGACAATGAGCACAGTAAATATTTCCAAAATACAGTTGTTTTAGAAAACCTATGTTATAGAGTAAAGGGTACCACTAACAATATTTTGACAAGTGCCATTAAATACGTTTTCTAGAGAGGAAATCCCACTGTTGTCAGTGGAACTTTCCAAAAAGTGTGATATTTTAAACTATTAGAATTATCCAGCCCTGAGAGATTGCAGTTTTTATCTGGAGGCAACTTGGAAGAAAATGAGATCAATGTAATAATTAGTAGACAAGCACTTGAAAGGTAGTTTATGGGGAGAGGGGGTTCAGTGCAATTAGCTAATTCACTCACCAAGACAGAAGCATATTCACTGCCCTGCTTGATCGTGACCTAATTAAAACCTGCCGATCACTCATTGGGATGATTGTCCTGTGGTGGATTCAGCAACGAACGAGAGCGTTGTGTCGTCAAAAGTCCCCCTCCTCAGTAAGGCGAGAAGAAAGAAGGGGCGCCCCAGCACGGAGCCACTCACAACGCTCAGCTTTTCTTTCCTCCTTGACTTTGCTTCGCCGATCCCTTCTTTCTTAACTTCCTGTTCTACACCTGACGGACTCACAGGGCCACCAGGACGCCGCTCCAAGGGAAAACTAACTTGGCAGCAAAAGAAAGGGGGCCCTTTCCCCTCCCCCAACGCACACCCACCCCAGGGAAAGGACCAGGCAGGAGAGTCCGGCAAGGACACGGCGGCGTACCTGTGGACGTTGCTCTCCCGGTTGTCTCGCTTTGCTCGCCGCCGCTCTTCCTCCTCCTCCATGGGAAGGAAGTACTCGGGATTCCTCCAGCAGAGAATGGTCGTCGGACCACCACCCCTGCGCGCCCTTTCTCCACTGAGCCCTCCTCTGGAGAGGAGCCCAAGTCCCCTTACTAGGAGTGAGGTGGCCCTCTCGCCTTCCTGAGGGGCACCGAAGTCGGCAGGGCCCCCCGCTCAGTGCCCTTGAGGGCCAAGAAATGGGGGAGCCCCCGGAGAGCACAGAAGGAACAGCGCGCTCACATTGGAAGAGAGGGCAGCGGAGCAGCGGGCGGGCAGCTTCCGAAAGCCTCAGCGCTCTCAGCGGCTTTATTTCCCCCTCCTCAGTAAGGCTCCTCTGCGCCTACGACTCGAAGGGAAAAGAAGCGCTGGAGGGTTCCTGAGAGGGGCATCCTTTCCATGCCCGCCCCGACTCCCCTGCCTTTCGTGCCTGAGAAAACGAGCCAAGTAACTGCTTTTCTGGTTGCCTTTTAAAGCTTCCTGCGCCTTCCCACCGGGACCTGAGCTCCAAAGTACGCTTCCTGAAGGGGCCCCGCAGCGCGCCCTCCTCCTCTCTCTCTCGAGGTAAAGCCCTTACGTTGAGCGCAGCTGAGAAGACGCCCCGCCCCGAGTAACTCCTGCCTTGGAACCTGCTGCTCCCTCCCCTCTCCCTCTCCCTCCCCTCCTTTGCGCGCCTGCCGGGCTCCCTTGGCGGCGGCAGAGGAATCCTAGCCACGCTCCTGGGATGGCCGGCCCCGCCGCCGTCTGCAAGGGAAGGGCCCCTAAGCGGCGGCGCCAGGAGATGGGAGCTCGCGGCGGGAGCGGGAAGGCAGGCCTTTCGCCTTGGCCCGGACGGAGCGCGCGCCCCAACTTGAGGCACTCGAAGCGGCTGGAAGCAAAGAAGTTACTCTGAGCGTGTATTTATACACGGTGTGGGGTTGTGTGTGTGTGTGTGTTGTTGTTGCTGTTGTTGTTTAATCCTACGCATGAGTCAATGGCTAACGGCAGCCGGTTCATAACTGGGACTTCGGCAGAGAAAGGTGCGTCGTTTGTACACCTACTTCGGCTCTGCCCCTGTTGTAACTTGCCTGAGCACCTGCAGCTTTTTTTTTTAAAGCTACTTTCAGGTTTCGCACTGCATCCTAGTCCCCCTTTCGGCTTTTTCGGATGTTTCATGACGTGCTCAGCGGCCTGTTGGAACCTCTCTGGTTGTAGCATCGGAGGAGGAGGTTGGCATAATTCTGGGTGTCGATGCAGTTCTGTACCTGTTTACCTGGAAGTAATGCCTGCTGAACTCAGTGGTCATTACTACTGAGTAAAAACTGTAGGGTTGCGCTAGAGATGCTTCCTCGGTAAACTGAGCTACAAAGCGCCCCTCCGTTTTCGCAGAAATAAGGGGCTGATCTTTGAGTAGGATTTAATTCCAACCCACCTCTTTAAATTATCCCAGGGCGAGAAAGCAAATCCCTCATTGAGCTGGGGTTGGGACGCAAGACCTCCAGATACAAGGCCAGGGCATCCTCCAGGGATACACAAGTGGTTCAAGTAAAGACCAGAAAATCAAGGACGCAATTAGGGAGAATAGTCTGTGTGTGATGTGGATAAACATTCACATCCCCAGAAGCTGAACAAGTGAAATGGTGTCAAGGAATGGATGCTGAATGTGGGAAGGACAGAAGGAAATACAGCTCTATCAAAAGTATGCAAAACATGTTATAAAATGTTGCTTCTCCTTTTTCTCTCTTTTCTATGTGAGTCATTAACACACTGACAGTGGTGCATACGGACCAGCACAGATAAAACAATTTTTCTGTAGAACTCCCTGTTTCTGTGCATATGAACCTACAGTATTATCTGGCCAAGTCAGTTACAGTGTTCTCTTTCCCGATTACATAGGATTAAGTTCCCCAGGGAGTGTCCAAGAACAGTAAGAACTAAGATCAGTTTTTAAGCAGCTTAAGAATTTTCCTGTTTCTGAAATAGATGACCTTCTGATAACAGCATTTCACAGAGTCTAAAAGCGATCTTCTTAAGCTACTGTGACAAGTTAAAGATGGAAAGCTCCGTCTATGCTCAGGGCTTTTACACACAAGGTGAACAAACTAGTTGATAAGGATTTGTGGCACAAGGATATCTCATTTAAAAACAAAAGTAAAGCAAAACTAGAGAATAATTTTTAAACTGAGCTGCATATTACCAACATGCTGCAATTATAGGCATGTAAATCCCTATTTTTTTGCTTGGCTGGCATATTTTGGTATGCATATTTTAATCTAGATGTATACTCAGTGTAGTGGATAGAATGATGGACTAGGGCTTAGGAGGCCCGGGTGCAAGTGTCTGCTCAGCCACTGGGGTGTGTGGCAGTGGCAAAACCACTCCTTTTAAATCCCTATCAGGATTGTTATAAGTCATTTCCGGACTTGATGGCACATAGCTGCAGCAGTAGACCTATAGATAATTATTGATGTAAACATAACTAAATTATTATGCTTTTCAAATTCCTTGTTCCTTGCAGGAATTTCACTAATCAAATTAGCCAGAAGATGCAAAACTGCACCACATATCGTTTCAGCTGTTATATGCCCATCTCCCATGCAGTAGACGAGGATACACTTCTCGCTAGGATCGGTTGTAGCATTGAAGGAGGAGATTTCTACATACATTTAAGTATGTATAGAATTGCAGAATCCAAATGTTACATTTTGGATTGGATCCTGTTGTATACTAGAGATATACTTCTACTGCCATTAACAAGGAAATTAGGTAATATGGGAGTGGCATTGTCCTCCAGTTCTTTCTGACAGCACAGCAAGCATGGCTGTTAGTAAGTGATGAAAGAAGCTGTGGGCCAACTGGAGTGCCCAGAGTTTGTTCCGTAGAATATGACAACTTGTAGTAAGCAACTTTTTACTTCTTTTTCAAAATGAACCCTCCACAAGGTTAAAGTTGTCAGATAATATTCATCAGGGATGTTAACTTTGTCATGTTTCTTTCTTCATTCTTTGTTTATGGTGTTTTTTCAATAGCTCTCTGTTTATCTACCGAATCCTTGTCCATTCATTGAATAGCATCCAAGTGATAGTTTTAGCTTGTGGCCCATTTCCTATTTGTTATGCCCACCTGTGTAATGTGCTTGGCATAACATTCAGTGGGAATTGCTGCAAGTTAAGAAGACTGCCTAGGCTTTTTCTATTGTGTACCCACCACATGATTCAGTGAATAATAGGAAATGCCATGCTAATTTAACTTGCATTAATTCTCCAGTGAAAGTTATGCTGGTAGTATAAATGGATGTAAAACATAAATTTGACCCATGTTTAAATTTTCCTACTGTATTTCCAAAGAATGGCTTTATTAGTCTTTCTCAGCATGTTGGCAAAATGAAATAAAATACTGTAACCCTTCAAAAAGTAACAGATTTATTTCACTGTGAACTGTAAGGAAATGGAAGGAAACTGGGGAAAGTAACAGATTAATTTCAGTGTGAACTCTTAGGAAATGGAAGGAAACTGGGAATTGTAATTATACTAAAATAGTCTGTTAGGTTCTGTGTAAGATGAATTCTAGAGATTTTTTTTGGAGCTTGTTGTGTAGAGTTGTTTCTCAAAGTCACAAGGTCAGACAGTCCAGGAAAAGAAGATGAAACAAAAGACCAAGATAAGACACCCAGAGCCTGCATCATGATAATTTTGGGCGGTGATCAGAGTATTCTGAATTATGCCTATTTGGACTTCATTGGGTGTCAGCTTGAAAGTGTAATGAAGAAGGAGGTTCTAAAGATATGTAAAAAATACTTGGTCTGTGAATGCTGTGGTATATATGAGGCACAGTGGCTTGTTTTTCTTTTCAAAGAAGAAGGGGGGAATAAACCAGCTTCTAGATGCCAACATGTAGGGATTTAGAGCAAAGATGATTACTTAGCTGTTTTTATTTTAATTAGAAATTGTAAGTTTATTTAAACGTTGTAATAGATGGATATGCTCAATGCTTCTGCTTCAAAGCTACAACTGTATTCTAAAGAAACTTTATTTTCTTAATAAAACATATAATTCTTCGATAGAGGTTAGTCTCTTGATATAGCAAGGCTATCTAAATCCAGTGGATGTGAGAAGTTCAAGAGTCGCTACTATAAGTTAAAAGGTCCTAGTGTCCTACTTGGTAAGGCTTGGATGTGAGAAGTTCAAGAGTCTGAAAAAGGTCTGAACATATGTAACTAGCACATACAGTTGAAAGGTCCTAGTGTCCTACTTGGTAAGGCTGTTGTGCATTCAAAGGAAGCACATAGTCTGTTGTGCATTCTAAGGAAGCAAATAAAAGGTAACTTTTAAGGTTCAGGCTTGTCCAAGAGGCTTACTATGCACTTTTGAGGCCTAGAGGATCTACCTCGGGAAATAAAGGTAGTAGTTTGGCACCCAGAGGGACTCCTTGATTCTACCTCTGGAAATAAAGGTGGTAGTTTGGCACCCAGAGGGACTCCTTGATCACGATCATACTCTCTTTAGGAAGAGGTGATTGTTACATGAGCTTTCATGGATTAAAATCTACTTCTTTAGACACAGAAGAACAAATACATGTTCCTTATATGTATTTCCATGATAGCAAAACTCATTTCCAGATAATAAAAAAAGTGATGATGCATCATTAATACAGGAATGGGGCTAACAGGTCATAAGATGATAATTGGGCTAGACTGGACTGTTAGAGGAATGGTAAGAGTTGTTTATGGCAGTCATTCTCAACCTCAGCCATGGTCATAAACGCAATATGAAATATAAGTTAAATCAGGATTGTGTAAGTCACATAACAAACTTTTTAAGGTGATGTGTGAAGAATTGTTTCCAGTCTGTGGCTCCCCTTCAAATGTGCCAGGCCTCCAATTGAGAATGGCTGATTGATGGCACAGAGGTCAGAGTTTGTCAAGGGAAACAATATTTATGGTCTTGACATCTATTGAAGTTTTTTTAGAGATGCACTAGAATTTGCTTGTGTAGTCAATTTCTCCTATCTTCCTAGCGAGTAATTCCTTTCTTATATAATTGCTACTTGCAGATCCATAACAGAGTGTCCCAGAGAGATACAGCATCAAGGGCTCATTTACTTGTTTCTCTAATGTGATTCATGCCATTTTTCTGCTAGCAGAACCCCTCTGCTTTCTACATAAAGACAAACATATGACAATCACTGTGCCAAACAAAATCTGACATTGGGAATGACAACTCAGGCAAATCAGATTTGGAACATGTCAGCCTCTCTGTCCATGGATTTTGCAACTTTTACATTCCTCTGTGATTTACAACCTGATGAAGACTCATGCAGAGTCAAAAGATAGCTAATGTTTGTGATTTTTCAATGGTCCAATAAAGATATCACCCACTCTTGTCTTTGAACATTGTACAGGGACCACAAGGCTGTCCTGTGGTTAACCACCAATCATGAAGCATCGTGAACCACTAATTTGCTGGTTCATGTCCATCTCAACCTACCAGTTTTCCATAGCTCTAAGACTTTTCGATGTTTTCACATTTTGAAGCATTTTTGTACTCTTAAGGCATGTATATAGAGGCAATGTAGAAATGAAGCTTGTAAAATTAGGTGAGCTGGTGTGGCCTGGAATTGTTGCAATAATGAACAGACTTATATCTTGATACTCAGATGAATTTTGATATGATTGGAAATTATTGGCTGATTTCCTTCTGGAATTAAGCTTTAATTGAGATAAATGCCAACTGTGACAAACATAGGCTTGTGATTGTTCCCCAGAGATCT